ACAATTTAAACCAATCAATGTTGTGTAATTAACAAGGATACTCTGGTGTTTTTTAGTCGATGAGTAGTGCAGATATCACTGTAAAATCAATCGACAGTAAGGGGAATACTTACTTCCGGGTGTACAATTCTCCGTTATCCAATGAGAATGGACGCTCACATTGCCTTTAAGGGCAGTCGACACAAACGAACGCCGTGCTTCCATGAGTGTCCATAGAAGCATATGGACATCCCGGAAAGCTGAAAATGGACGCTAAGGCTCCCCCCCTTGCGTTGAAAATGGACGCTAAGGCCCCCCCCCCCTTGCGTTGGAAAAAGCCGACAGGGAACTTGACATAACGTCAACATAGGCCGACCTGGGAGTGAGGATGTGTTGAATGCACATAATGTCTTAAACTCCTAAGTTACAGTTACAAAACCAATTGAAATATTTAACAAACACTGAGCTTAGTCCTCCTTATGGCATGCAATTTAACTTCTGTAATGCTTATTATGTTGGTTTTCTTTACATAAGACATAATTCATGGAGTATCTGTTCATACATTCTGCTACTGTTGTTCGGTCTGGACTAAGAAATATAAGAATCAGAACTTAAAATAAGATAGAGGAGTCACCTCAGCTCAACAACTCAGTGACTTAGTTTGATCTCAAGGTGTATTTATAGCAATAATAACTGTTTTGATACTTATACATTTAAAAAAAAATACAATTAAGTTATAGTCTCCACGTCAGGCTTAAGATAACATGGACATGAAGGTCTCTTAATGAAACAGCTGATATTTGATTAAGTCAAATATCGTTGATGCTGGGGGGAAATTACCTCGATTTTTAACGCAGTTAAAACTAATTAAAATGACAGCTCGTCCTTGTATTGCAGGACTTGGAATTGAACACATTGAAGATAACATTATGGTAATAGAGCCACTATTTAGCAATCAATACATATGTTGTACAACAGCTTTACTGCAAATGTATTCAACATTTTCATGTTCTCATGGGAATGTTAATCCAATAAAAGTGACATACAGGAAACGTTTTTACGGAGCCTGCTTATATTATCTCTGTGGTTAAATCTAGTTTATGTAGTGTACAACCTGTGAAAGATGAATTTCAAGCTAGGTTATATGTTAAGAGAAACCTAGATTATCCTGCAAAATGCTCAGGCAAAGATTTGGTGATGTTCTTGTTATTTATCAAAGCATCTGATGAGTCTGCACAGTTTTCTCCTTTCCGTACAAGATTGAAAACATTTCCTTTAGAAATATGTATACATTTTCCCTTCAGTCTGATCTCAATATTCTGCTATTTATTATAATCTTTGCTATAGTCAATTGTCAGTACCTTTTTGTTTTGGTAGATTGAAAAATGTCGACTTGTCTGTCCTTGAATGTTGGTCTAATACTTAATCCGTATGAATTGTATACTCGTTTTATTTTTATGGAATATCATTTTGTCATGAAGTCGTGTAGCATAAGCTGTATTCATTTCCCTATATTAGCGTAGCTTGTGTGTACTATTCTCTCTTTGCACCCTTATCTGGGTCATCTTAATTTACCAGCACATGGATGGTTACAAACTTCATGCCATGTAGAGGCCAGACTTAGTGTTAGGTAACAGCTGTTCAGCAGTGCTGTCAGCTGACAGCGGTTATGGAAGCAGGGGGCTCCAAGATGCAGGAATTCACAGAGGAGCCTTCTGTGGAAATGGAAGCGCAGCAACATAACTGCACTTAATCCAGAAACGTTTAGATAAGGTGTACACTGAATGTGACATTTAGAGGTGCTGTTGCATTATGCTGTCTGCATTATGCTGTCTGCCTGATCGTCCTGTAGATTTCTGAGGGTGTGGCCTGATTGCCACCATTATGTGATTTCTATGATAGAACAGCCTTTCTTCCATAACTCTGCATTTGGCTCTTTTATAAATCTTCAGGCCACATAATACAGCAGAGGATTTTTAAATCTCAGCCATGTTATGAGTATGTATGGCAAGGCTAGGCAAGTTTATTTATATAGCACCTTTCAACATAAGGCAATTCAAAGTGCTTTACAAAAAACGAAAGACATTAAGAAGAGTAGTTTTTCACTAATACTTTTACACATCTATTCAGTTGATTTGGTGACTAAAACATGAATATGCGAGTAGCTCCTCTCTGTAGGTCATGCTTTAAAATGTTCTACCATTCTGCTTTACTTCTGTACATTTCTGCATGATCTACCCATCCATTATATACTGTAAATGAATATAATTATACTTGGGGGCATTAAGACACCGTCACATCTGTTATAAAACCGCCTAATGAGTAATGTAATTGCATAGTTATATAATAAGGTATAGCCTGCTATTTAAAATGCTTTTTTTGATATGATGATCATTTTACAGCAGATGTTTGTTAAAGTCATTTATATTAGAATCTGGTTTATTTACCATCAATATGGTATTGAATCTGCACTCATTAATGTGGCATTCAAACACATTTCTTTAAACCAAAAGATTTGCGCTAATTGCTCATAATGCAAAAACTAATAAAACTGTTAAAGTGGAGAGAGACTGGTTGCTCACGTGGAATAGATAATTAGTGTGCCGTTTTGGCAACTGAGCCACTAGTATCCTCTAAGCAACGTGCACAGGGCAATGGAGTTGGCTGTTTGCCGCTATATGCGTACTGTCTCTTGTGTAGATCCTCAAATTATAAACATGATTACTTCGCAATATAACCCATCTTCAAAATTCTATGCAATAAAACCATTGCGGAAAGGCCAAACCATTCTCAGTCTCATGTTCTCATCTCTAATGTTAACAAGTACAACTAGTCGATGCGACCCAATGTTCTTCAGTGTCACCTCAGTTCAGGGTTAGCTGATGCATGTTGAGTAAAACTCTTAAACACTTAAAATACATCTAAATATAATGGACTTATTTAGCTGAGGTGTAGTGTAGTGAGTCTCTGTGTTAACGCACAAAGAAGAGCTGTTTGTGAAATGGTTCATTGAGTCAGTTAAGGCAACATGTCACAGTTTGGCCCCTGAAAATCACAGCCACCATTAATGGGTATTTTCTTTCACAAGTTAGTTAACCCTCGTTTAACTAAAAGAAACCCTGTTGGTTTCTTCAAAGGCTACTTTATTTCACGTGTTAACACACATACAACTTTAAAAGCGGTCATGAATTCAACCACAAGCTAACCATGAAATTGTCAGTATTTGCAGAAAACGTCTTTATATTCATATCTGCCGCAGGATGACTGCTCTAATTTCAGGATGTCTTTCTTTCTGGTTAATCTGATCTATTGCCATCTTCTTCCGCTCCTATCTTAGAATATTAGAAGTTGTTTTTTCTAGCACCTGTGAACTCCCATTGCTATTCGGTGCCTTCAAAATCTGTTAATTCTCACAGGTACAGCCTCACACTTTATTCTGTGAACTCAATTAACACCATACTTCATTTTCTTCTCAGACTTTATTTTTAACCTATAAAACTAATTGATTTCTTGTTCCAACCCATCTGTGTGCACTCCCTGTTTTATCTGGGCAACCCATGAATTATCAGGCCAGCTCAGTAACAGGAATGACTTTGTTCTCAAGCTATTTTTGAGTGTATGAAAAAGTGAACTGGAGCCACTTTAGGAAAAAATATGTGATCATGGCTTTGAAGAAATAGTACATAGCTGACCCCTCATAGTTGGTCTGGACTCAAGAAGTAAAATAGTATCTATTGTTGACCTTCCATTATCAAAAAGGCAGTTAAACAAGCAATAACTACCTAACTATTCCAAAACACTCAGATAACAAAGCAGATATTCTATGGATGGCAAATCGTTCAAATTCCACAACCATGAAGGGGAGATAACCAACCGGCCACTCTCATTCAGACAGATTTGAAATAGCTGCACTACCACAATAAGGCAAAGGGAATGTGTTTCACCTATTACTCCATTCATGCCTCCAGCCAAATAACTTTGGAAAGGACCATAACATTTGGATAAGGCCTTCCAAATGGTTTATTAAACAAAACTGAATGCACTGAATGCTATTACAGTCAGTGGTAATGTTATTTAGAGTATAATAAAAAGATGAAAAGGGTAAAGAGTGGAAAACAACCTTCTGCAGATAAGTGTTTTGCCTATTACATTTTCACAGAGAAGCTCTTCAGCACTTTAATACAGTAAATCCAGTCCATGTAAATCAAAAAGCCCAAAAACATTTGTTTGGGCTTCTGAGGTGAATCTCCTAATTCCTCTCTCCAACAGAACATATCATTAATGTAACTCTGATCCTTTAGTTTAATGAAACTTTTACATAGCTGTATCCTCTAGCTATAGACCTGAACTAAAGGTAGGCTTAATGTTGTACTTAGAATGAACTCACATTCTTTGTTCAGGTCTGTTTACAGTAGCTGCTTTAAGTGATAAGCTGTTCACTGGTTTGATGGTTTAATAATCTTACAGTGAACTAATGATTGTGCATTTATTTACATTAAAGTAAACAAGGAGTGTTAGATGGAAAAGGCAGACCTGATGTACTTGATTACATCCAATATAACAAACTCAATTGTGATCTCTTTGCTTCCAAATTTAAAACATTTAATATAAAAATGTAATATTTGGAGGTGTTGACAACCCCAAACATTTTGCATTTGATTGTTCATAATTAGCGAAGGAATATATTTAACCTATTTATGCACCAGACAGTTCATGCTTTGAAGCAATTACGTGGACTTCGAATATAGATACCAAGATTATTGGTATCTAAGATCATTGCAATGCGTCAGAAGTACTTTCTTTTCTGACTAAAAAAGATTTGATCTTGTCACTTAAATGACCTCAACCCACTGATTAAAATACTGGTTGGATCTCTTCTCACGAAGTAAAACTTAGTCAGAGTGAAGATTGAATACTTTCTTGCTTATTAGGATGATCTATTCAAACTGCTATATTAACAGGGATGTTTAGTGCACATGTGTACATGTGCATATGGGTCCTGTAAAACTGATTTTTCTTACCGTCTGGTTGTCCTCGTAAAGTTTGAGGTCATAGCCACTTAGCTCGACACAGAAAATGATTGCAGTCACGCCCTCGAAGCAGTGGATCCACTTCTTTCTCTCCGAACGCTGCCCACCCACATCCACCATCTTGAAGGTAAGCTCCTTGAAGGTGAACTTGTTCTCCACAATGCCAGTGGTCATGTCGCGGGACCGCAGGATGTCCTCGACGGTTGGGATGAACTCGAGTGCAGAGATGCGGTCCAGGTCATTCAGGTAGTAGGCAGTGTTGTCCTCTAAGTGGTACTCATTGGATCGCTGAAAGCACTCCTGTACCCCTGAGTCCCCCCACAGACGTTTCATGACCCCCTGCAGCTCTAGAGTGATCTCCCCTTTGCTCTCAGCCGGTCCTGTGAGGGCGAAGAGCTGCACGGCGTCGTAGGCGCGATCAGCATTGTTAAAGTCGATCTTGAGTGTAGTGAGGGCACGGATGATGCGTGTGAGCGAGTCGATGGCATTGTACAAGATTAGGGGCTTGTACTCCTTGCAGGCATCCAGGTTGAAGCCTCCACTGTGGATGATCTTCATCTGCTTGACAATGGTGCTCTTGCCCGAGTTGCTGGTGCCCAGCAACAGGAGCTTGATCTCACGCCGCTGCCGCTGACTCTCTGAGCGCAGGTGGCGGTCGATTCGCCGGGAGCGCCGCGCCGCTTCCTTCTCCTCCGAGCTCTGACGGCATCCCATGGTCCTCCACCACGTGGTGAGCACAAAGGAAGTCGTGCTGCTGCTTGATGGGAAAGCAAATTATAACGAAGTGGTGACCTAAAAGGATCTGGTGGACGAGTTGGAGAGGGTTTTCACTAACGCTAAGAACTTGCTGGTGAAGAGGCAGACAAGTCTTCACAACAGCCCAATTTAACACTAGACAGGAAAGCCACCACACAGAGGAGCGGCTCAGGAGGATTTGATTCTTTTTGTTCAGGGGCTGTCTGTAAGTCCAGTGTGGTCAGAACCCAGGCTTTTGGGATGCCCACACAGCGCCTGGCACTGAGGTCGGACTGCCTGCTGAAGCCAACAGAGCTGGGGTGCATAGCAGGGGCTGCCCCTGAGGAACAGCTAGGAAACAGTGCTGGAGAACGTTGAGCGAATAGCACTGGACAAATTGTTAGGGCTCGATGCGTGCGAATTGCAGAACTGCCTTACTCTCCTCCCACATGGCTCTCGTGGTACGTTGCCCTCGTTTGGCTTCTGCAACATCCACCCTCAGTTAGATATAGGTCGGTTTAGCTTAATCTTCCTGATAAAATATTTTCAGCTTCTTCTGTGGTGTGATATCTCCCCAGCAACTGAAGGCATCCAAGTCTGCAACACATAATAAAAAGAGATAAATTAATAGCATGTTGCACACAAATGAGAGCAGGTTCATCACTTTCCATCACATAATTAACATATTTGCTACAAGAATAGTTCAACAAAATATAATTTGACTTGTAGTGACCTTTGGTGATCCCTTTAACTTGCTGTTTGCCCCTGCTTCCAGTCTTGATGCTATTTGCCTCCTGGCTTTTGCTCCACAGTTAACACACTGCCATTACTTACACCAGCCTACTTATTGCAATTTCATAACAACGCACAAACAATGGACTGATAAGCAAAGAAAGCATGAACAGTCACATGCATACTGACCTGCTCACCTCAAATTCAACCATTGCCATGCTACTTGTATACTGTGCAAACTGCCACTTGATATTTGTACTTCTAACAGTCACACACCCAAACTCTGTCCCTGTGCAATCCCGTGTTACCATAGACCCTTAACTGAAGCAGACCTCCGCTGACCGCACCTACCCATTTAACACAACCGTGCACACACACAGAATCATTATATACACAACCAAGGTCAAACATTGGCATAGAACCAGGCCGGTAAAAGCAAACTCAACTTTTTGAAAAGAAACGTATCCTATTTCCACTACAGCACCTCTGACTGTAATACTTTCAGACCTGATAGGCAAAAAGGTGAAATTATTGTTTACTCCTACAGTGGAAAATAACTCACGCCAGCAGGTGCCTCTCAAGCTTTCATACCGCTGTGGAGCCTGTTCTTCTTGCCCAGACATCTGGATTCTGCATTGTGATCCGGGAAAAGGAGTATATCTGGTTTCACTCTACCCCTGCTTAATATATTTGTGTTCAGCAGGCATCACTTTTACGTTAACAGAAACAAAAGCGAATTCCAATAAGTTTCGGGAAACATATTAAAACGAAATACTGCCTGATAGTATTGGATAAATGTAAAGCAAAAGCCCATTTGGAGCCGTGAATTTCTTTGGGATTCTGTGATAAATAGATGCACATTGAAACAGGCTGCATGCTATTGGCCGAGTAACAAATGTGAAGTCATACTGTGGCCTAGTTTTGTTGGCGAAACTATACTCTACAAACCTCAGAGAGAGAGAGAGAGAGAGAACACACACAGAGTGGAGAGCATTGTTTCCTGGCTCCAGGCACCTGACTGCCCCCTCAAAATGGCATAGCCAGCCAAACCGGTTAATGCACATCACTGATTTTGAGAGCCTATGAAACACATTAAAGCTGTGTATGAAGTCTTTTCAATTTGCTATCTCAGAAATATGCAAGCCTTGCATTTCCACACTTTTTGAAGTCATACCACTTTAGATAATTGCTAAGGAAGTAGTGTGCCAGCAATGCAAAGAAAATCAGTCAATGTTATTATCGCATTACATTTGTATTGATAATATCACCCATTCTATTACACTGCATAGAAGAAAACGTAGTCCTTTGCTGGTATAACAACTAGAGCAGAACACAGTGTAAGTATAAGTATTCAACTTTAAACTAAAAAAATGAACACAGGATTGATACTAATTTTGATTTTGAAGCCGCTCTGAATTCATATATGACCATCTCCAATCCATGTAATGTTAATCATCATCTTTACTCAAAGGAAAACACTTCCAGGCTTACCTCCTCTGGTAATGCCTAAATATCCTCATACATGTCAAACACCTTCCAAGAAACGGCAATACTAGGAGCTAACAAACAGTTGGCCCTCTTACACAGAAGAAGCGTGTCACTTTAAGTGTAAGAGAGTGGAGGTAGAGGCATGGGGGCCACGGAGATAGGCCAGCATCTCAATGTGTTATGAGGGCTGAGGTAATGTGATAGCCTGGATTAGACTGAGCTCGGTCACTCCTGCCTTTCCTACACAGCTCCTGCTGCACACGGCCCATCAGCCCTGCCTCCATCACTCTCCCAAGCGCTTACTTCCTATTATTAATTGACTATGTTGCAAATAATTACCATCCCACCCTAATTCAGATGAGCACATGTAGTCAGTGTGTTTTTGTTGTATAACAGTCTCTCCTTTCCTGCTGTGGTTGATAATTCCATAAGATTGCTGTTAAAAACAGGGTTTAATCACATTAGATTTAGTGGCGATTCTTTTTACAAAGGCACAATTATTGCTCACACAAAATGATAAAAGCAAGATTATATAAAAAACTAAAATATATATTGTATGTCGTTGCAAAGTCTGTATACAAAAATCTAATATCATGATTAAACAGGCAGAATGAGCCACTGTGTTTGAATAGTGCAGATATTTATAGCTGTTTAACACCTAATGTTAAGAAAAAACAGGTAGTTGATTGTATTCACACAACCACCCAAAACATAACATTCAAAAAGAGGAAATGGAAGAGAAACTCAGCAGGCAACTCATCTGTTCGCACGCTCAGCGAGAACATTACCAGGTAAAGTAAATTGTGAAATTCCACTTGGTGTTCCAGGTCAGTACAGCCAGATTCAAAGCATACAAAGAACATTCAATTGTATCGCAGCTATTTTTAAAAAGAGCAACACAAGTGTGTTGAATCCATTATGTGTTGCTGTGCAATCAATCTCCCCGTGTGCCAGTGAGGACACATGATTTAAATTAAATGAAATATAACCATGTAGCATACAGGGAGGCTGTGGCTCAGTGGGTAGTGTGCTGGACTTTGAATCAGGGGATAGCAAGTTTGAGTACCACTGCAGTCAGCATGTCGTTGTGTCCCTGGGCAAGACACTTCACCCCAAATGTGCCCTTGTGGGGATTGTCCACAGTACTGAATGTATGTAAATCGCTTTGGATAAAAGCGTCTAACAAATGACATGTAATGTATGATTTAGGAGGAAGAAGTAAAAAACATGGCATAGTGGTATCATGTGTCACAACTGCTTAATTTGCTCACGTTTGGGGAGATGAAGGAAAGCAAAGGTATTATTTTTATTAAAGCACATTTTTGCAATGTTAAAACAAGAATTTAAGGCACAGGTGAGCTTTTAATCATCTTGTAATGCTTTATGAATGAGGTGTGCAGGTGTGTGTGTCAGAGCTGTGCTCGGAGGGCTTGCATTTCAAGAGGGATCGGATGAGGTGTTCCACTGAGAATAACCCCGCTGTGGAGAGGCAGCAGGGAGAATACGGCTCTTCCCTACATCTTCCAGTCATAAATAACTGTAGTCTTCAGCAGGGGAACAGCACTGGCAAACATGTTTCACATTTATTAAACCAGGTACCGATTTACATCAAAACTAAAGCAAGAAAACAGCCTATTCATCACAACTAAGCATTCCAAGGACTTTTGAAAAAGCAACCTGGGGAGTGATCAAACAAGAATCCTAGTATATATCATTGTCTGTTGCATTAAACACAATACAAGTCAGCCTATTCCTTTAATTTTAGGGTTTTAATGGTGCATGGGCACAAAGAGATTATTCCTGCCACCATGATGGTCAGCTCTGAGTTAGACTCAGAGCTGCCTATGTTCACTTTAAGGGTGTACTTTGTCAAAATATTTCCAGATCTTCTTCTCCTGTTAGCTTCTGGTTCTACATAGAATATGATCACTTGATCAGCTATGTTTTTTTCCGCTGCAACGTGATTTAACTTTGTATCTGTTTACACAGACACTTCATGGTTCGTGACCAACAACGTTAGTTTCAGGAACAAAATGCAGCTGAAGCACAGTTTTTATATCATAGGGCAAGAGCCAATGGGGAATTTCCATCACATTAATTGTCCATTACCTGACTGACCAATGGTGAAACTCCATAAACCACATGTGTCAGTCAGAGACTTTTACATTAGTAGGGATGACCCTGCTTTGCTGAGGTCAAGAGTATTCTGATTAAGATTATACAGAAAGGCACATGTAGGTCAGTTTAACTGTAACTATTCAGAACAGTATGGGGTTATGCAAATGTGACTCTTTGATGACAGGCATTGTGTCGTAAACAGGTTGTTATATAAATTATAATCTAAAGTGCGATCTTGTCTCTTTCGTACTGATGGATTTTGGCATTGCATACAGACTCCCTGTAGCAAACTCAAATACAGGACATGCACACAGGAAACAAAGCAGCTCACATGCTTTACAATCAGCTGCACAAGGCTCATGCTTTCTCACCCAGAGGTGGCTGTTTTAGTGGCGTTCTCCCTGCTTCTGACTAGCTTTCCCCTGGCTGCCTGACAGAAAGAGGTTAAAGAAAGACTTAAGGCTGTCTGGTCATTATCCATATACAGTGTCATAGTTTTACTGGAATGCAGCGGACTGATTCTTACAATAATATCTGAAACCCCAGAGTGAAACAGTAGCTAATCCCCAGATCTGTACTAAATCCTGCTATTGTGTCAAGATTAAGCAGTTAGAGTGAAACTGTGATCAAACCTTTGGGTCATGTCGGGTATTAATGGGCTCTGTGGCGACTGTCGAGAGCAACTTGACAACTTGTTTCATTGTCTTTTTTTTCGGAAATAAGTAATTTAGTTACTTTTAAGGGGTAAAAATCAGCAGATAAAAAATGAATAACAGCCTTGTGGTGTTACTGGAACAAAAACTTGCCCAGCCGAGCAGAGAAGCTCTCTAAAAGAGACAAGAAGCTCTGATGAAGGGACATTATGAATTTATGTGATGCAACTTAGGCAGTGAATAAGCTTTGCATTAGAGAAAATCTGAGTAGATCAATAGACATGCTTTCCTCAACTACTATCGCCTCCAAGAGCTTATATAGGTCACAACAAGGTCAAAGATAATGCTGGAAGGCTGACAGAGGTATACAGAGGTCATAGACAAGAATTCGACCAAATGTTCCTGATTGAGTTGAGAGGCAAATGAATACGTATTAAGGCAAACAAGAAAATACAGGAAACGGATATTGGGGCAGACGTAAAATCTTTAAAATGTTCTGAATTGAATTTGCGCATGAGTAAGTCAGCTGACCCTATTTCCGAGTTTGTGTAGATTGTTTGAGGCTGTGTTGGGGTTATTGAGCTACAGCGCTGCATTAGCACGTCT